AATAACAACATAGTATATATTTATACTATTAAGAAATATAAGTAAAAGCCATTTATTTTGACAATTCACAAAAAGAAGAACTTGTATATATAAGGTTATTTTTGAAAATCTGACACAGTTTAAAGTAGTGTTTTATATAATTAGAGAATTTACTTCGAACTGAGTTATGTAATACAACTTAGGTTTTTTTATTTGTAGGTATTGCTATGTAACTATTCTTTACTATTTAGCATGATTGTTATTTATATTCTAAATGTAGGAAGAGATATTTCTTAATTTCACTGTCTTCTGAAGAGGGGCTATTGGTTGAAGAGTACTTTGAGTCTGCAAATGGTAAGTGTAGTTAGAAACACCAAAATATAATAGAAACATTGTCTGCATACCACTTTTATGGTTGGTATAAAAGTAATTTTCCAAATTTGTATTTAATTAGTTCTATAAAAGGGCAGAATTGTGGTGAAGATTGTGGAATAGACAATCATGACAAACTTTTCACTTGTGATTTTGATTGTTTATGTTTAATATGGTACCTTTATTATACTGATCCTGATAATATTGATTAAAACTTAAGTCACTATATCCCACATTTTACTGTCATGTCATCATTATGACCGTGAGCAGCAGTGCAATTTTAGAGATGTATTTTCTACAGGTTTACCCCAAACATTAATTAATGTCATTGGTAATGGTGACACTGTCCAACTTGATTGTGTTTTAAAAATTTTACGAGCCATTTTTGAATGTTTTATCTGAATTTTGTACATTGTGTAGTTTTTAACTCGATTTATTTTTACATTTTATATAATTTTACTTTTAAGATTTTTACCAGTTGTTTGTTGCCAACCAACTTGAAGAGGCTGCTTTTCAACTGCAAGGAAAAGTAAATCTGGTCATAATGGACCATTTGTACAACTTATTATTATTCTCTTGCCAGCCTACAACAAAAATGGCTTGGTATATTGCACCCAAACCTAAATAAGGTACTGCAAATGTTGTAGGGGTCAATTTGTTTTTCTATACATTACATGAGCTAAAAAACATAATTCTAGGATAAACGATGTTATCATTACCTCTTGAAGTTAGCTTTCTTACAAATATCTGATGTTCCTTTAAAAAAGCTTAAGTACAGGGTGAAACAGGAATTACCAGTCAACAATAGATGAGCATTACATGACTGTAACATGTAGATACCCAATGCTTTGTTTATATCATACAATCGGTTTCTTTAGGGAGCTAACCTCTATATTGTGTATTAAGTGAAAGGAGTAAAAATAAACAATACTCATAATATTAATGTTATTACACACATTCATAGAATAATTAACTTAAAAGACACAAAGGTTTATTTAAAGCAATATGTTAGACATCATTCTTTGGTTTGAAAAGGCTGCTTTTCTACTGGTAAAATTTATATGCATTTAGTGATGGTTGTGTCTTAGTCTAAACATATATTTGCCCCTTGCTATGCATCTTATATGGAGAATTTAGGTCACTATAAATGCTCACTATATTCTCAAACAAATCTTTTTGACAATATCCAGCTGCAGCTTAACATTTTACATTTTTGAACTAATGCGATCAAATAGTCAATAGCTACAGTAAATCATCATGAACTTTATCAGCTATAGGCTTCCAGCAAATCCTATATTTCCCTTAATCTCCTGTATTTTGGCCCAGATTCCTATAAATTTAAAAATTGGCTTGAATTCTGATATTTTTGCCTTTTTTTCCCTATACATATTCCTATATTTGGAAGACTTTTCCTATAAAATTACAAGATTTGTGCCAAGAAAAACACTTCTACAAATGGCGCTAGTGTAAGCATCTCACATATAACAGAAGAGAGCATATCAGTGGTTCAAGATCATATTCACTATATATAGAAAATATTGCATGGCAGTGATGAAACAGGTGTACATAGTGCCAGGTAGTGTGCAGAACAGAAAGCATGTAGACTTGCTAGTGTGTAGCACCAATCTTAGCATATATATATCTACACTAGTTGAAAGTACACAGCTTCACTTAGGTTATTAGGTTGACAGTGTGTATATTCTGAACCCATTTTAGCATAAAAGTATAACCTGTATACTTTTGTTGCTAAGCAACATGACATAAAAGCCACTGTTTGAACACATTGTTACCAAAATGTACTGGCTTTTCTATATATTAGAAGTTGTTATATTAGGAACCACTTCTTTTCCATGTGGTTTTTCGCTAGCTTGCCTCATTAAAAAGATGTGCATGCACGTGGATAAGATAATACCCAGGTACACATTCTCAGGGTCCACCCTGTGCAAAATTTCAGGTTGCTAGGTTCTTCTTGAAGCTGTAATGGTCACATTTTTTTTAATGTGTTTTTTTTTTACATACAAAGATGTGCAAACACATGCGAGTATGCACATAGATAAGTAATAACACCCAGGTGCTAATTCATTAAAATATATAGATCTGTTAGTTTTCGAAACAAAAACTACTGTTTAGTGTTACATTGGCTGGTTTGACTTCAACTGATTATAATCCTCTCACAAAATTTTCTGACCTAAATTTACTGTAAATATGGTTTGAGTTGTATTTATGTTCTTACTTTTTTTGAGGCAGATGTGCAAATTAAGCATTGTATCAAGATTTATACTGACTCAGACTGAGACACAAAATTAGATGAATATTTTATCCACAAACTGTTTATGATACCTGTTACGATTTTTCATCTGCATGCATGCAAAGACAGATGTAGATGACATGGACATTGTTTTTTAGTCCCAACAGACTTTAGTAGATGAAATCACCTGACCTTGCACTTGCTATTTGCAGGTACACATGATTTTCCAAGAAATTCCACCATTCAAAAGGCAGAAATGACAAATATTTGGCCCAAACTACAAGTGTGGTAGCATGGCACATGCATAGTGTGTCAATTTGAATGATGCATTTGATTCTGTTGTTGTAGATTGCAACCAAGATTCTCTCATTGCTCTAGACTCCATAGCATCAGTTTAAAAAAGTGTGTGGCAAGACAACACCCATGTTGCCTGTCCCCAGGTTAAAATTGACTCAAGTATTGGTGACTAGAATCACATGATCAGCTTGGAATTGATGCAAAATCCAACTTCTGAAAAAGGGTCCACAGTCTGATAAAAAAAAGTAAAACAGGCAATGGGAAACAATGTCTATTGTGATGACATCACAGTCCACAGACTGATCATTTACTAGGATATATACAGTGCCTTGCAAAAGTGTTCACCCCCTGTGCTGGTAATAAGTTCAGGTATTTTCATATGATATAATTTAGTGATATAACACAAAAAAAAATCTTTAAAATACATATTGCGAAATTCTTCACCTCCCTCAGCCTTTACCATCGTTGATTTAATTTTACGTCACTACCCTGCTAAAGTAAATAAAAGTGGCTCTGTACAACTCTTATCAGATACCAAAGTATATTATAGAGTCATATGAAAAAATACCAAAATAGAGACACCAGTATTGATTTAAGCAGAATATTTGGTTTACTGTTACATATTGAGAATATAACTTTCTACAGACCTAAGGAAGAAGATTGTTCAGAAGCACAATTCTGGAGAAGGCTATAAATCAATTTTCAAAGTTTCTGAGTTTGCCATTAAGTACTGTAAAATTGGTTGTAAAGAAATGGAAGGTGTGTCGCAGGCAAATTCTGATTTGCAAATTTCTCCACTAATTTCAATGCGCCCTCTATCTAGGTACTGTACATAAACACCTCATTCAGAGAATCACTTTTTTCTCGACAAAGCTTTCAGCATGGGTTTCTATAAACAGGAGTGTTGTGATTATTCACATTTACGTTGCGACTTTGAATATGGTTGCCTTACTATGATTTCTTCGGAAATATATGAGTTACTTTAATAATAATAAAAGAAACAAAGAGTGAGCATATAGTGGAAGCCCTGGACATCGAGAAATAGTATAGTGTCAGTGGAGGTAAATATTATTGGAAATACATTTTCAGTTTAGGAAAATGTTAACGTCTTTGACTGGCCAAGCCAAAGCCCGTATCTAAATCCACTCAAAAAATCTGTGGAAAGACTTGAAAAATTTCTGTACATCGAAGACATCCTTCCAACTGAAGGATATCTGCAAGCAGAAGTGGGCAAAAATATCTCCAGTATACTGTGCAAAGCTTGTGGAGGGTTACCCAAAACGACCTTCAACTGACATTGCTGCCAAAGGAGCTTCAACCAAATATTAACTGCATAATAATGTTAGGACTATTGCAACATGTATTTTCAAGATTTTTTTGTTATATCACTAAAGTGAGTAACAATGCACCTTTTGTTCTTTATAATCATTAGAAACTGGTCTGAGAATAATATAATAAAAAGTTTTGGCCATTTGAGTTATGTCTTTCACAAGAAAATAACTAAAATTGATTACCAGCACAGGAGGGTTAAGACTTTTGCAAGACACTGCAGATTTATAGATCCTATTGAAATTGTATTCAGAATGTTAGCTTTGCATATTCCTTAAAATCAACACCAGTGAATTAACACACTAATGTTCAGTTATGAAGAAGTAAGAGGGGTAAATCAGGCATGTGTGAAAAGGACAGGTGAAAGTTTAAGCACCAATAATGAGAAGTTTTCAATTATTTTAATCAACAAAGAAGTATTTTTGTGGCATACTTTTGGACACATTAGAGATAAATTTTGATTGAGCAAAGGAAGAAATCGCGAGCTTTTAGAGGCTGTAAATGGTGCTAATTGGCATTCACACCAGTACTGTTTGTTTGTTATGAATTTTGCACAAAGCTACACGAGGACTATCTCCACTAGCCATCCCTACTTTAGAGGGAAGGCACCGCCAACTCCTGGGCTACTCTAGTGGGATTGGCCATCACATTATAACACCCCACAGCTGAAAGGGCGAGCATGTTTGATGTGACGGGGATTCGAACCAAGGACCCACAGATTACGAGTCAAGCGCCCTAACCACCGGTACTGACATCAGCTTCTGGTCAAGAATAAACATTCCAATTAAGATTGACTTTTTAATTAATTCTTATAAAAATGTAATAATAAAAATACAAACAAATTTAAAATTAAATTAAACTTAAATTTTTGAATTAAATTTGAACTATTAACCTTGCTTTTCATTTTCAGATAGTATAATGAATTTCATAGATAGTAGTAGATTAACAAAAGGAGAATTGGAGATTGGTGCAAGCCTGGCAAGGACCAGTATACAGCATACTGTAGCCTTTGCTGCTGGCAGTTGAGTGTGGATAAGGTTGGAAAGACCTCTTTACTTCAGTACACAAATACTAAAGGCCATAAAAGCAAACAAAAGTTATGTTTACTGTTAAACCAAGTGCATCTACTGTCAAACTTGGAGAAAAAAAATTGAAAATTTGTTTCATCCGAGTGGAAATGTGCAAATCTTTTTATACTGTAAAATTATGTAGACCCATCTGATTTTGTAATAAAAGGCTGTGGTGTGATTGGCTGTAAGGGGTGCTTGAGGCCATTTCATTTTGTGGATGTTAAAGTACTGTTGCTTTTGTTATTTGTACATATATATGCCCAAAATATACACAACCATAGCCTGTTTATCTAACTTTCCAAATTGCAGTATTTGACATGCCAAAACCTCTTATATTTTAAGCAATGTTCCTAGAAAAACTCATATTTCATAGAAAAAATGTCTTTGTATTCTTATATTTTGGGCACCAAAAAAGTGCTAGGAAACCTGATACTAGCTATGTTTATTATCATTACAATGTACAAAGTTAGCTACTATATCAAGTAAGCCTTTGCCCATTATTGAGCATTAAAAAAGTCAACAAACAGGATAAATAAAATATCGGGAACTTAAAAACCTTCAAACAGGAATGGTAAAAAAGTAAGGAAACAAGGCTGGAGATACTGTAGACATTATCAAATTACAAATCCCTATTTTGACTCCATCAAATGAAATTCTGAGTAACAGAGTGGAGCCAAAATAAGGATTTGGAGTTTTAGTAAATGATGTCTATCTACAGTATCTCCAGCCTTGTTTCCTTGCTTTTTTTCATGATCCCTGTTCACAGGTTTTTAAATTACCAATTTTTTTATTTGTCTTGTTTTTTGAACTCTAACTGTAGCAAAATAAATCCAGGTAAAGTAGTTAGCACATAGGATCACCTACAAAAGTTGTAATATTTTTAAAACAAGAACCAAAACTTGAGAGCTTTTGAGTAGTTGACTATTCTTCTTTAGGAGAATAAAGGATGTAGCAAAATAATATGTAGTGGAAGTTAAAAGAACGTGAAATAATATGTAGTGGAAGTTAAAAGAACGTGAAATAAAATGTAGTGGAAGTTAAAAGAACGTGAAATAAAATGTAGTGGAAGTTAAAAGAACGTGAAATAAAATGTAGTGGAAGTTAAAAGAACGTGAAATAAAATGTAGTGGAAGTTAAAAGAACGTGAAATAAAATGAAAAATACCTTTATGTTTTCTAGAATGACTGCAGATTGTAACAGATGGTTACAATTATTTATCTGAAACAGCTTCAGACTCCTAACAGTTTTGCATCTGTTTTCATTTACTTTTTATTGCTCTTTAAACAGGTGTCATGTGACCAAACAAAATGTCTTTATACTTAGCTTTCAAATTTCTGTCTTCACTTTTCATTTTTCTCTGTGCTGAAATTTGACTCACTTTCATTTTTCAGCTCAGTTGCTCAACTATCATGCCAAAGGCAGTATTGTCACACACATTTGGTTTCCTAAACTCTTGATTTATTATAGCCAATGAAATACCCACGAAACTACATACTTATCCATATTTTCCAAAAGTGGCGTGCATAGTGTAGACATAAGCTAATTAACACACTCAATCTGATCTCTCCACTGAGGTATATCAATAAGTTGACTGTATATTGTATAGATAGACATAACTGGATTAATTGTTATCACTATCAGTGGATTACAGAAGGGTGTTAATGGTGGTGGAAGATGTGTGTTGTCTTTGGATTGTTGTGTTTTTGATTGTCTCTCACAGGAGGTAATCATTAATTATGCAAGGTATGTACCATAAAGTGGTACCATTTTACATTGTCTTTACTCGTTAATTTACAAATAAACTTGCATTATAAGCATGCAATCAAACCAAACTTGTATGTTACTACTCATAATGATATTCTTCCTTTGCTCAGAATGTCTCTAGCTGCTTGGTTAGGTGTAAAGCTATTGGAAAAAATATCTGAGTCAAATTTTGGTGAGAAACAAAAGAACAATGAAATATTAGAGAGTGAAAAGCCACAGAGATTAGAATCAAAATAATGACTTCACTTAGTAGTAATGGCAAGATACCATGGGATTTTGGCACTACTCAATTTTTAAAAATGCAGAACAGAATAATGTGTATGTACTCAGGTATGAAAATTCTGCTAAGACTACAAATCAACATTTAAAATGTAAGTGAAAAAAAAAGAATAAAAAAGGAAAGGAAAATACAATGAATTTAGAAAATGATTTTATATTATTCTGGATAAAGACAGGTTATTTTGTTGCAAAAAAAGCATAAAAAATAAAATGATTTTCTTAGATTCTGAAGACAAAAGTTTTTAAGTTAAACTTCTACAAAAATTAATAGGTTTTTTTATTCACTTTATTTTGGGAGGGGAGTTGGGTATAATAAATGTTTCTGATTATGCACCTCGGGAAAATGTCGAGAAAAATTCTAATTTCTAATCAGAAGCAACAAAACATATGCAACAAAAACAACAGAGTGAGACTCCATAAAGGACAAG